AGAGTGAACTGCTACGAACTAGAGATTCAGATTTGACTAATAAAAACGGATTGTTTCCAGCCTGAAGAGAAACACAAGCAAGTTCGACGACTAACCTGACAACGTTTTGTAACTGTCCAATTGTCATTTCTTCAGGGACAATGAACAGTCCACGTTCCAACTCGTCCAAAACTCTCTCATTCTTGAATCGCTCAATAATCAGCTGCAAATATCGCACTTGAACACAATATAGGACGCAAGAATATCGTATCTTTGACGAGAATTTCAATTTTGAAGACTCAACTTTCACATCGAATAGTTAATGAAATGAGCTGTAGTGTAAATTGCGAGTAGTTTCAGATTGATTTGAGATGTTTGATTTTGATATGTTGAGATCAAAGGAAACATGAAAACATTATTAGAAAACGCATTATTTCGGAAATTTCAACACGAGATTTGCTTATTGTTAACGCCAGACGTGTTGGTCAAATGTACACTTACGGCGATTTTATTTGGATATCGTTTGGCGTAGTATTCGAATTCGGATCGACGACAACAAAAGTCATAGCAATCCTTGAATGCAACTTTCTTTTTGGATGCAACCTTCTTCACTAAGCCTTCACTGGATGACGATGGCACGTCCAAGTCATGATGAGTGAAACATCGTTTTGAACGAGTTGTTGTCACTGGTGTCTGCAATATTGTCAACTTACAATACTTCACACCATCCAGTTCGTATTGTCAGGGTAAAGCTCCTATTCAGACGGTGCTCCCGACTCAAGCTTTGGTTTTTCCCAATTTTAAGGACGGCTTAAAGCTCTCCTGAAGAACCTCGAAGAACTTCACGTTTCACAGTGAATTTTCACGATACTTCAGAACAATTATTGAAAAAAGGCGTTTGGTAAGGATGACAACGACGGGTACACGATTGAATGGCACCGGAACACTACCAACAAAAACGCTGCTGTCAAACGAGAGAGCAATTTCGCTGAAAGCAATCGTTGAAATGTGAAATATGATA